CCCCCCCCCCCCCCCGCCAACAAATAGCATAGGTAATTACTTAGGTCCCTATATGATCGTGCAAGGGTCCCATCCATTAAGGGCTTCAAAGGTCAAATGAATCATAGCCCTGAGTTCCTTAAGGGTTTAGGGTCTTTGGGTTTAGGGTTTTTGGTTTAAGGGTTTAGGGCTTTAGGGTTTTTGGTTTAGGGTTTAGGGTTTAGGGGGTTAGGGGTTTAGGAGTTTGGGGTTTAGGGTTTAGGGTTTAGGACCCACAACAACCACTGAGTCTGAAGCCTAAAATCTTTCCGACTTAGACCCTACGTGTAGCCGAAAAGACCGGTTCCTTACGATGTGGTTCTATTTATAGTTCCTTCAAAAGGTCCTTTGGGCCACAGGTCACAGGTATACCTTAAAACTCTAAAACCTTAAGCCCTAAAGTAAACCCTCGACACCTAAACCCTAAACCCTACACTCTAAAACCCTAGGCCCTAAGTACACCCTCGACCTCTAAGCACCAAATAAGCAAGAGTTTAGGGTTTAGGTTTGAATCAAGCCTGGGTCCCTCATAAAGCGTGAACCCGCGGTCTGGACGCCCCACGAGGAGGCCCAGCCAAAAGAGGGTTTAGGGGTTCGGTTTCAGGATTTTTTGGGGGGGGTTGCAGGGTTTGCGTTCACGGCTTAGGGTTTGGATGGCTTTGGAGTTTGTGGAAGCGTCATATTATACGGCATTCTCATCTCAAATCAAGACTATTGGCTTAAGTTTAGGCTTTGTCTTTCTTTTTTCTAAAATCCAACGGCGGCTTGCAACAGCCAGCCGAAGGGCAAGGGCAAGGCAAAGAGGAGGTCAAGATGAAACAAGAGCCCAAGGAGGTCTCGCTGGACAGCGCACGCTCTTTCAGCTCGGCGGCTCTCACTTATGCTCATATCCTCAACCCTAAACCCCTAAACCCCTAAACCCCAAAGCCCTAAACCCCTAAACCCTAAACCCCTAAACCCTAAACCCCTAAACCCTAAATTCTAAATCCTATGAACCCTGCTGAGGATGCCCTTCTTATGCCTGCTTCCCTCTGGCAGCTCAGTCGATTCAAACCGACCTTTGTCGAGCGCGCTCAGCCTTCCCTCCGTTGGGTTTAAGGTAGGGGCGTTAGTAGTTTGAACAGGGTTCCTTTAAAGGGAACTATACACTCTAACGGATACTATAAGGGTTCTATAAGGGGTCTATAAAGTGTGTAACGTAGGAGCCTTAATAGTTAGAATGGGGTTTGGGGGCCCAGTATACCATAATCATAAAACCCCTCCCCCCAAAAAAATAGTACGGGTAACTATTAAGGCCCGTACATCAGGGTGTTAGATTTGTCTTAGGTGTTAGGGCCCAGGTTTTGGTGTTCATGGTAGGAGTTGAGGGTTCCTTCCCCTAAACCCCGAAGCCTAAAGCCTCCTAAAGTCCTTTTTAAAAAGGAGCCCTTGTCCGTTGTCCGCTTCAAATATCTGCTATTAGGAACTATAAGGGCTCTATCACGGTGGACCCTAACCAAAAGGTCCCCTTTAAGTCCCTTCGAAAGGAGCCCTTTATTTGGCTCCTCTGACGCTTCAAACACCCACTCCTCTGACGCTTCAAACACCCACCATTATAAGGGCTTTATTACAGACCCTATATAGCCCATGTTCCCTTCATACTATAATTACAGCAAGGATAACAAGGAACCCCCCAAAAACCCTAGTCTAATTATTAAAGCCCAACCCTAAACCCTAAACCCTAAACCCTAAACCCTAAACCCTAAAGAGCTCCTCGGACGTGTCAAGGAGATGGGCGTGGAGCTGGCGAAGGCCGAGCTTGCCGAAGCCGAGGCCCCGAAGTTCCAGCCTTTTGTTTAGGTTTAGGGTTTAGGGGTTAGGGTTTAGGGTTTTAGGATGTTAGCTTAGTTCCCCAATAGCCAATCTTTAAACTTTTGGGTTCTTATAATTTCGTGGTAGCCTGAAAGTTTAACCTTTTATTGTTCTGCCTTATTGGGGAAGAAAGTCAGGGGCCTAAGAGGGTTTTAGAAACCCTCTTCTACTATGTTGTTTAGGATTGTAGGGGCATCAGAGGGCTGTTGACAAGCCCTCTTCAATTAGGAGACGGTTCTAGCCTGTTGTTTAGGATTTTCAGGGGCTGAAGCGTAAGGCCTTTGGGATATGTTACATTTCACTGATTGAGCCTATGAGGATCTTATGTACGAGTGTTTAGGGTTTAAGGGTTTTAGGGTTCTTTACAGCTGGTAAGATGATAAGGGTCTAGGAGGGATCTGTGCATTTCAATCGTCTACGATTTAAGGGGTTTTAGAGTTGCTGTAAGCGGTTATTCTCAGGGTTAACGCTCAGGGGATAATTCCGGTTTAGAACTAGGGTGCTTATGGGCTATCGGTAGCTGCATGAGTACACCTTGCAGGTTTTGTGATGATCTTACCCCCCTAAACCCTAAACCCTAAACCCTAAACCCTGAACCCATTGTAGAACTCTAAGGTTAATGTGGGAACCTACAGCCCCCAATACATTGAGGTTCATATTCAGAACCCTAATGAAGCCCCTGGGTTTCTTAATGAAGGTTCCTACATTACGCGCTACTGGGCTCATGGAATCAGCACCTAAGGCAAGTGCTTCTCTGTTCAGCGCTGGGTTGATCCTTCTCCTCAACCACATAATATAGGGGCCTAAGTAATTACCAATATTTTTTAATAGGCTTCCTTTACAGGGATCCTTAACGGGTTCTATAAGGGCTACTATAAGGGTTTAGGGTTTAGGGTCCAGTAATATAGGGGCCTAAATAATTACCAATCCCATTTGGGGGGGTTCCTAATTATGGTACAATATACCGCAAAGCCCCATTCTAAAGACTTATACACTGTCCAGCTATCCCCTAATAGCTAATAGTAAGCAACGAGTTGCACTTTAAGTGTTCTTAGAACCGTAAGAGAAGTAATTTTGGATCTAGAACCCTAAACCCTAAACCCAAACCCTAAACCCAACCCAAACCCTAAACCCAATCATACACATGCCTATAGAACGCTTGGCACGGGCTGTGCTTACTTGGGTTCCAGGGCCTGGGTCTACGGTTTAGGGGTTGGGGGCTCAGGGGTTTAGAGGTGCTGAATTTAGGGATTTGGGGTTTACGGGTTTGGGGGTGTGGGGTTTAGAGTTTAGGGGTTCAGAGTTTATGGGTTTCGGGTTTATGGGTTTAGGGTTTAGGGGTTCAGAGGTTTAGGGTCTACTGAGACAGGTCATGCCAGTCGAAGCTGTCGCGGAAGCGGAAGAAGTGGCTCGGCTAGCATCGTCCGATTGGGTGCTGCCAGGATTTACGGTTCAGGGTTTAGGGTTTAGGGTTCTTCCCTTCGAGTCAACCAGACTATACCGCCAACCCCCATGTCTATTACCATGTCGCTTGTCTTCTACCCTGTGACAACAATGCAAAGCCCTGTAAGCCCAAAATAAAGTCATTCATTCGTGAAGGAGGGTCGAAAGGACTTAATACTTTGTACCTTGGGGAGAGTAGTTGTGTAGGATTGCATTTCGGAGTGTAGATGATTATTCGGCACTTGGACCTTTAGGGTAAAGCATCAACCCTCAATCCTTAATGGAACCTTGAAGAGAACCCCTTAAAGGAATATCACATCTTTAGTGTAAACAAGGTCTGTGTGGCCGATGCACCCTCGAAGGAGGAAGAAGCGCCTCGACGTAGCAAATTTCTCCGGTGTTCTACAGGGTGGACCTTTGTACGTGGCTTTGCCTTGCATGTCTGAGTTCTTGGGTTTATTGCGGTATTACAGCATTTAGGGGTGTGCAAGGGCTCAGCTAAATGTATTTTATTGTAAAGGCTTCAATAGACAGGTCTGAATCCCTAAACCCTAAACCCTAAACCGTCAGCCATACTGTTGCATTCCTGCGGGTTCGCTGTTTCTTTATAGTACAGGAACACCCCCAAAAAACCCAGTGAAATGATTCAGGCCGTTTCATGCTTCTTGGATGTCACTGTTTTGGAAGTAGTCGTGTTGTAGAGTTGTGGGTTTCATATTTTGTAATGTTTGCTGTTGTTGTTGCGGTTGTTGTTCTCGTTGTTGTCCCTAGTAGACCCTAAACCCTAAACCCTAAACCCTAAACCGAACCCTAAACCCTAAACCCTTTATGATTGTGGGTCGTTGCCAGTCTGTTGCAGCAGAAGAAGGGCATTCGAACCGCATCTCGTGAGGGCACACAGAGGTTAGTTGTTTCTGCACCCATACGCCCCATAGTAGTTCCTTTTTGTGGTTTGTTTTAAGGGTCCTATTAGATAATCCCAAAAAGGAACCACTATGGGGCCTATGGTAGTTCCTTTTTGTGGTTTGTATTAAGGGTCCTATTAGGTAATCCTAAAAGGAACTACTATGGGGCCTATGGGCAAGTGCACATTGGCTAGGGGTCAGATTTCGCGGTGCTGCGCTTTTTTTTTGGGGGGGGGGGGGATGCCCGTGGTAAGCGAAACAGACAGGGATGGCACTGACCATTGGATTGCAGCTCAGGTTCAGATTGCGTTTCGGTTTACCACTGGGCACTGGTCTTTAGAATCCTCAGAACCCTAAACCCGAAACCCGAAACCCTAACATTAGATAGAACGGCTTCTATGAGCCCTATCATCCACCAAAACCCCGTAAATTTAGACAAAACGGCTTTTATGAGCCTTATCATCCACCAAAATCCTCTCTAGCGAGGAACTCGAAACGCGAATAACAGAACCCTGCAGCCTTCAAAGTCACATGAGACCCCAAACCTCCAATCGAACCATCTGAAACCATTTCAAATCATCAAAACACGTAATGTAGGGGCCTTAGTAAT